TATACATTACGGTATCTTTAGATGGTTTTCTGGTATTAGTGTACGAAGTAAACTTATTTATTCGTATAATTTTGAGTCATAAATCAGTAGTAGGTACCTTTTCACATAAACAATAATTATGAGCAATAATAATGTGTTTTCTGCCAGGCATTTCATCAATTAATAAGACACACCGGATTCCAAAATAACAGTTCGAAAATATACCTTTTCTTACCACGACTTCGAACGGCATCAATACTTCAAACGATTGCGGCCACAGGTAAATTCAATTTTCAAGTTCCGTCTTGAGTTATTTGCAAAATTGTCTAGGAGTAATTGAAAAAGAAATCTATGTCTAACCGCAAACTGCTATGTGCCGCGTTTTTTTTCAAAGGTTATAATGCTTTGATCGACTATTTTATCTCGGGTTGCATTGAGTTATTTTTCCATTATTTGATTACACTATCTGATCTGATCTGAGAAATTGCTATATAGGGTGTCCAAGATAACGATTATTTATTGCATGGGGATCTCCGAAGCCGTGAGAGATACGAACTCGGTTAAATTAGGAAAAAATTGCGCAATCATAGGGCYCTATWCATGGCGTTTCCAAAAAACAAGTACTTCTTTTAATTTTTAAGACATTTAGAAATGATAAAGTTAATGCGATGAATGGAGCTTTTGGARAGGACGTGGATATTAAGGCAAACATGCGAAGAAAATCTGCTTAAAGTTCTAAACGGATAYTTCCAGCACAGAGATRGACACGAAACAAAAAAGGGAGCTAGGCAAGAGAAAAGAAATTAAAATTAGGWAAAAGATTAAATAGGTGCCTCATGTGGTAGTGGCCATCACCTGCTTAAGGCACAATTAGTATTTTCTATTAGAACAGGGTACCAGYAGGAGAAGAAACAGGAAAATGTCTAAAAAAGAAAAGTGAYGGAAGAATGATACAATATTCATAGTTTGGAACAGGAAAGTACCAAATAACTAGTACCAAATAACTCGTTAGAGGAAGCATAAAATCATGCATAATTGCAGCAGCAWAWGAGGCACTAGGTTGCGAAGAAAGAGAAGAGAATCGTCAAAAACCATACTGGTCGGATGAGCAGGTAGAATMTGAAATAGAGATCAAACGAAAACGATTCAACACCATGTTAAGCTCCAGATACCTAAATGACAAACTCGCATATAAACAGGGACAAGCAAGAGTACGAAACATTATATCTATATAAGATCTCTACAAAAAAAGAACAAAAAATGGGAGAGAACATGCTCTATACTTAGCCCATAGCTAGGAGCAAGCTGGAGAATACTATGAAACATGAGACTGAGACGGGCAAAAGACATCATCTCCCCAATAACAGAGCAGTCATGGGATCAGAATTTCGAGAAAATGCTGACAGGATATAGAAATGAGTTCCAAATTACTGATGACACTAACATAAATATAAGCATTCAAGGATCCCCAGTAATAATAACGGTATCAGATGTTAAAAAATTTGTCAACGCGCTGACACCAGGGAAAACTAATTAAATATGAGACAAAAACAAGTCAAAAGTACCAAAAGAATGGAAGCTATCATATATATAGGTAATCCATGAAAAAGGGCATCCAGATAAATGCGATAACTATAGAGGAATATCAGTAACCAACACCATAAGCAGAATACTCAAAAACAAGACAGAAGATGAGTACAGTGCAATAGAAGCAGAAAAAGAAGCCGAATTTATGGCGGGCAGATCCACCAGTGACCACCTATTTACGCTGCTTTAAATTGTGGAAAAGAAGCCGCGTACAACCATGAAGTGCGTTTGATATTTCTGAACCTCAAAAAAAGCCATTGACCGCAACATTGTAGTAAAATTATGAAAAGCTTTACAACATACCAACATAAATGCTGAAATAATGAAAGCTATAGTAATAGGGATTTCATTATTTTTATATAACGCAATGCAAAGACGCAAAAAACTTAGATAGTATATGGAACTTAGCAACCGGGTTGACAGCAACAAATTCGTGCCATTGTAGATTATATAAGGACTGGACAACTCAGATGGGTGGGCCAGGACCGACTCCCGAGACTTCTGTCACATGTTCTTGATACAGCTTTATCACATTCTTTATAAATAATAAATAAGTTTAAATAATCTTCGTTCCTGTAATTGAATSCGGCCTGGCATGWTTATTAATTATTTTGAAAAGGTAACTGACAGCTGTCAGCATTCSTTTGGCATTTGGTTGTATTAAAAATGGCCATTTTGTCATGGCAACTAAAAGRAACAGGATTTAAAAGAAGGCRCTGCAAAGTAGYCATATGAAAACATTAAATTGGCAATATTTCGAAAACTAAACACTGTTGGAATAGACAACTTTAAACAAGCGCACCCTTATTTTTAATACTGGAAARAATCACTTGGCACACTGTCCAAWTTACAAATTTCTCCTAATTACAGTTTGTCAGATATCGATCGCGGCGGTTCCCGGTRGGATATTCTGTATATTCTATACTAAATATCTAYATATTATATCGGTTTTCGGACCTTCGTTTTCKTTTTCATTTTTAGTTTATTTSAAATCATATCGAAKARCAAAAATACTTTCTTATRGCACYTTTTTGAGCTCTACAAGATAGTGTCAATGAAAATTTATAAAAAAAGTAGATAACATATTGTATAATAGATATTATAATTATATTTCCTTTAATAGAGAATTCAACACCGTACGATTCGTACCGGTTTTTACGTGTTGCCCCCATCAACACGCTTCTATGTGGTTTTTGATATAATTAATGCTTCAGGACCTATAGCTCATCGTAAAGAATGCTCTTTCAACAGAAAACAATTTGATTTGGCACGAGACGCAACTTACCGGGAAGAAGATCAGCATTGGACTCGAAGAGAACGCAAAGTCCTGTTTCATAATTCACAGACTGGCAACTTTCGTTGCCTTGACATGTTTCCAGGCAGTCAGTTAGCATCAAAGTTCCTGGAATGGAGTCTATGACGTTGTTGGGCGAAGAGAACACGTAGCCTGTGATTAATTCGAATCTGAAATTATTAAAAGTTTATACGTAATGACTTTCGTTGCAACAACAGTTAGTCAATGATGAGCATATTGCTTTCAATCATAATTGTCCATTATGGGATACTGCTCGTCAGAAGAAATTTTATAAAACCGTAAATTGATAAATCTGTCTGTCGATGTCTACAGTTATTTAATGTTAYATTATTATAGAAACATAAGTATGCACACACAAACAGWCCATCAGKCAGATTCGAAAATAAATCCAGGTAATCCTTTGTTTCCCAATTAATCTGTGTGAGCTGAATCTAACAGAAAGAAGGTATTAACGCCGTGATGCTTAAACCATTTGATATACTTGGTGGTTTTTTAGTGCTAGAGAGTCCATTATTTCCTTTGGTGAAGAACTAAAAACAGTAAAAAGCGCCTGCAAAATGTTTTATTCTTAAATGTTAACTCATTTTTAAATAAAAATAAGATGTTTAAACATTTTCGCATAAAACCGTATATTTTATTCATTCATATCACTCTAGTTTATTATCAGTTTTTTTGTTCGTTMAGTAGTTACTTCTGACCCATGTTTTGCTTTTGATTTTAGAATATTTTATTTTAAGTTTACCAATGTTAACAATTATGTTTTCAWTAATGCAAATCATTATATATCATCACTATTTCTACTATCCTCATCATTCTGCATTTTTAAAGATAAATTTAAAAGGTAACATGTTCCTTTTGGAACCGCATTTTGAAACMTATTACCAAGKTGACGCTGGAACGTTGTAACCCGTTACAGAAAAATAACCGYTTATCACAYCTCTAGCACAGCTTACTATGGTAAAATAAATAACTCRAAAAAAGATAAAAAAGCTCATAAATTGGAGGTCGATARATKRTTTWGAGRTCTTCTACACGCCCCTGCTCCGTGTCCATAASGTTTWKTCATATTTTTTTGRGACACATTGTRAACTTTGCCCTCTTMAYCTGCTCCCAAAAGWTGTACTTTTATCCGTTTTGTAATACAAACAGTTATTATGSAGCTTTGSTASGAAARAAAATGTACGTAAGCAAGTGTGMTTAATATTAAATATTTCCTTCATATGATAATCTGTCCGTTTGAAGTGTGCAATTATCGAAAAATTACAGCGGTAATTGCACAGTGCGCAAATGATTAGATTAGATGATAMTCTCTGATTAGTTTTTGGTAACCATGTGGGAGCGTGAAGCAAACAAAACTCTTCGTTCGCACGTTTGAAATGAGTAAATAATTCYATGTCGTGCGTAAGATCCCAGTTCATTTCTCGATTMTGTTGGGCTTGTGTATCATGAAAATATGTTCTTTTTGYCYATATACTATTTAYGAGTATTTTCACTAGCTGTTCAAGTGGGCGACTTTTGACGGTCAGTGAACTTATATTTATTGGACYGTAGCATAAGACCGAGYGAACCGACAGCTGGTCCTACACAGTCCAAAATCTAAACCTTTGCTATTTCCTTTTATGGAAAAATTCCAAAAACKATAACGGCTTWAGCAATTTCCCAATTTTKGGAATTCCAAGCAGRAGTAATAACCTTTGAACTGGTGTCCGGTAAATTAATTTCATCTGTTCTGTTTTGCGTCTTACACAAWYAGCGACAATCGTTATCTAATGCAAGCGTCTTTCGATTATCTTTCATACATTTTATTGTTTTTCAATTTTCGTCAAATTTTCGGATTACGTTTAATGCATTTTGTCAGATTTTAATCAAACCCACTCAATAAATGTTTCAATTATCAAATTTCAATAACAAATAGACGCAACGTTTACTTTCAGAAATATAAAGAAGTTCAAAACAAAAAGTTTTATCACATTTAGAAATGTTTTCTGGGCTTTAGAGTAGTGGTCCATGGGAATTTCTGCCTGAGGTTTCGTCCACAACTGCGGTGGACCACGCCTCACGCATGAGCTCACACGGCCGCGCCGCATAAACACGACAGGGGATCCAGTAGTTGAACCAGTCCAGTAGTCGGTAAGCACGGAAGATCACTTCGCCCACTGCCTCATCGCCTTTGATAATGTCCACGGCAGTTGTGGGCGAAACACCAGGAAGAAATTCTCATGGACCACGGCTTCAAATCCCGGAAAACATTTCTAAATGCGATTTGACCGGCCGTGAAAGCCTTTATAGTCTGATAAAAGGTTTTATGTACCATATGTTTATCTATGGACTTGCTCTAGTTGATAATCTTCTGCTACTGCGAATATTGTCTAAACTTTTCTTTTTTGGTAAAAACCGAACTTACCCAATCATTTCCGAGTCGCATTCGTCTAGCGGAGACGGTGATTTTCCAAGCAAGTTAGTGGAGCCATCTTCTCCAGTTTGATCTGCAGTGGGGTTAGCTTCACAGTTTCGCAGGGCGATGACCAAGAGAATTAAAAGTAATTCTTTTAAGTGGCTCATAGTTGTTTAAATCTGAAAGAAAGCCATTTTTTAAGAACGATGTTTAAACTTAATCAATTGAAGATTTGTTGTAGGTCTGGGTAACACTCTGTTGAAATGCGCATTTCAGCTGTTGCCGCTATCGGAGTTGATGAGTTATATCTAATTCATTAAAGTGGATTCAAGTATCGTTTTCTCAGCAACGGAACTGAGTTACTGTGCCAGTGCGTTGAGTTGGCACACTAAGCCATTTGCGCAGCACTGCGCCAGCTCCGTAAAATTCGCTAAGTTGCCCAGGCCTAATTTGTTGCCCATTAAAAGTAGTTAAACGCTTATTTATCAGAAGTAGCTTTTAAATAAAATCATTTTCCTTTAGTATAAAATAATAGTAATTGTACGTACTTTCCTGACTGTGTTTCAATTCCAAAATTAAAATCAAATCCTGGGTTCTTCAGTCATTTGGCCTTCAGGCCTTGGCATGTATTTCTACATGCCAAGGCGTAAAGTAGCAACAACGCTACACATTAAAACTGATGATGGTGGAAAACACCGAAACGTTTTTTTAAATTGATAAATGAACAATAAATAAATGACTGAAGAACCCAGGATTTGATTTTAATTTTGGAATAATAGTAATGATATTGATACTAATATAATAAAAAAAAATTACAGCAAAATGGTTCTCTATCCTGGATTCGTGCTCGTTCCAGAAGCGTCTCTAAGCGCGTGTCCATCTATCCACCTCCTTTGTCTTGCATTCTTCCCTCCTTCTTTGATCCCATAGTGTGTTTCCTGTGATCATTCTTTTTGTCTCCGCTGTGTCCGCTCGTGCTGATGCCATGCTTTACATATTCTAACTTTGGTCGGGATTGCTATATGCATGTATTTTTCATATAGTTATTCGTAAGGCTCTTGCTATCCTGGCTGCTTTGTTCACCTGGTTCCATTCTTGAGTTCACCACATAGTGATATTGGTATTTCCAGATAGTTGAATTGAAAAACCTGCTCTATTGCTTTGTTGTTCAGTTCCAGTTTGCATCTGCATGGTTCCCTGGCGATCACAATGCTTTTTGGTTTGGTGGTTGATGTTAACTTTTTAAGCCTCTTTCTTAAATGCCTGTAAGAGCCATTGCCATTGTCCGTCTTCAGTGTCCATCTTAGCCACTTTTTGTTTAATAACAATACAAACTTAAACTAGCTTTGAAACTCTGCCGAACAAAACGGGATAAGAAAACAATAGAGTGAGGTTTATTTTATTAAGAATGCAACAAACGCGGTATCAAAGACTAAAAAACACACTTAACGTTATTTGCCTGAACACCTTATTTTTTTAACACTGCGCATGATAACGTTTAGCGTTTAAGTCCATCGTAATTTTAAGGAGCCTCAAAACTCTCTATTATCTCTCTATTATCTCTAAGTTGTTGGTTGGGGAGACCTGTCGTATCCCTGTGCTTTGGTCTATTTTTTCTGTTGTTAATTTTGTTCGTGTTCGTGGGTGTGTGTTTGTAGCTTTCTAACGGTCTCCGTGATGCTTGGGGGTTTAAGATAATTTTATATATTACGAATATAGTAAATATTTCCTAACTGATAACCTTTTGTCTCTACTGAGGTCCTACTAATGTTCCCCGAGATAACCTTCTTTTTGATCTTGCCTTCAGAAGAAGGCGTATTAGTTAGTCGATTAAAATACATTGACGCTATCCGAGTTTTTAGATGTCTCGCTTTCAACTTATAATTGCTTATTTTCTGTCAAGATGCGTCCTCTAATTCTTCAAACTCGTCAAGACCTCCTTCGGATTTACGTTACCGTTATTCTTACTAGCAAAGGTGTGTTGTGTATTTCTGTTTTATCGCCTTTTAGCACAGTTACGTAAAAATCAGCATGTTTACGTTGAATTTGAATATTAGAAAAATAATCTTGTGGCTGTTTTTTCTCATCGTGATCCTCCTGTTGCAGGCATAATTTTCAATTTACAAGTAAATTTCGTTACATTTCTTAAACGTGAGATTAGGGTTGAAAGATCCATTTTCTGCCTTTTCAAAATACGTTCACTGGTTTAGAAATAATTCAGGCAATTATTTCTTTCCCCCTGATTATTTTTTTGATAATATGTCTGCTCCATAAAATAATACAGTATATTCGTTTGAATGTAAAACTAAGTCAATCAAAGTGACCTGATAATAAATTATATGATCAGTAATGGCATGAATGTGTAGTTGGTGGAACATTAATTTTTAAATGGAACACGTTTGTCTCCGAAAATCAATTATTAGGACTGAGCTGTGAGGTTTCCGAGCGATAGTCTGATCAAAGGGCACTGAACGCGACCTCACGTCTTCGCGCTTTGCCTGTCTATCTAAGCAGAAGGTTATGATGACATTTCCATTTCTTCACGTATATACCTTTGCCCTTTTATTAAGCATCCAGCATTATTTTGCGAATGCTGTCATTATACAGTGCAAATATATTGTTTTGCTGAACTTGCCGCATCAAATAATTGATGCATCACTTTCGACGTGCGTGAGCTACTGGTAAACTGTCTTTATCATTGAACCGAAAATTGTAGATTATTTCTAATAGGCTCTCCGATATTTAAGCGTAATAATGTATTTCGCACAGTGACGGATTCCTTGATGGTGGGTTCAATTAATCAGCTGCCGAGAACTAATAGAGCCGAAATAGGTGGTGGAAGTGCTTGATTGTGGCACAGCCAAAAACGTCTTTCTGATCCTAACTTCTCGCATTTATGGCCGAGCAATCAGCTAACGAAACTTTGGTGTAATGAAAATTGACAATTGACTCCTACAGCTTGGCTACAGCTTTGCCAGTCTGGTCATTTCCAGCCTTGTAGAGGTGACAACCATTACATTGTTTTCGGGAAAAACCGCATTTCAACGGCTGTAGATTGAGTCGTTAATTTTTTTATGATCCTATTTAGTTTTTACTATTCAAGTTGTCGCACTTTTGGGGCTTATCTAATGCATATGAACTGGCGCTATTGTCTGTTTCGAAAACATTAGCAAAGAAGTTTTTTGTGAAGTTAGTATTCTTTAGGGGTTCCTACAGGAATAAATCAAGTAGCATTAGGTCAGGGGATGTTATCGCCCACTCAGCAACGCGTCGTCTTCCAACCCATTAATTAGCCTGTTGAGCATCCAACCATTGTCTACCTAGACCTTATCACTAAGGGACACTGTGCTGTTTGAAATTGTCGTCGGTTTAAAAGAAATGCTTAACGATCTGTCTGGTTTCCCACATCGTAAGTTTGCATTAAAAACATAGCCTAGACTTATGGTTTGCATGTTACTGGATATGGCTTCATTTAATTAAGTGCGAGTCTGGTTATTCCATTAACGACAGTTTTGTTAATAACACTACACATTAAATAAAGAAAGTCTCTTCACAAATTAGCCTTATCATAGATTCACAAAATTGAGTTCCCGTTCTGGTCATCTTCGGAAAGATCTTCAAGTATCAGCCAGAAAGTTGTTTTGATTTTAGAAAATTTTATCTGTGCGTTTTTAAGCGGAGCAACAACAACAGTTCATAAACTTTCTGACGACCTAAACCTTCTAGTTTACAATGCTCCAAGTTGTTTAGTTTGTACAAAAGATGGCCAAAATAACTCACTTTTGAGGACATTTGTTCGTCAAGTTCTCGCTCGATTTTAATGTTGTCTGTCTCGTTTGTCGAACTGTTAGCTCTTGGATTGCACCCTTGGATTTTTTAGGACCGTGGAAATTATATGTACGCATAGTGAAAATTTTCGCTCATATTTTTTGCTAAAGGCTGCAGCTGCTAACAGAAACAGCAATCCTTAGAACAATAAGTCGGAATAATTTGTGTTATGCACCATTGTGGAAAAAATACTATATAAATTTTTGGCACAAACTTAATTAAACATTTACAAATTATTACAAAAGTAATTTCTACTGCTACTACCGAAGTTTTTTTTTAGCAATAGGGTGTTTTCACTTTTACTCCATAATAATTTTCAAGCGAATTTAAATTCAAATCAGATATTTTCCGCCAAAAACGCCGAATTCGTACTGTCGGTTTCCCATCTCGATTGTGACGTATCAGGTCATATCATCAAAGTGTCTCCTGTTTATTTTGTTGTTTTCGCAGCTTTGTTTTATTATTTAAGTTATTGTGATTATCATTATTTGATTAATTTTTATTATCTTGCATAATGGAAATTAGTGACATGTATGGATCACAAAATAAATGGTGTTTTGTGCCCGGATGCAAGAATATCTCAATAAGTGCTCCAAACAAACTCTTTCTAACCGTTTCCTATGATTATTAACGTAAAGTTTTATGGTTCAAAGCAGCTAGACCTAAACCAAAATCAATATTTTTTTGTTGCGAGGATCATTTTAATGAAAGTACGAACAAAAAGCTAATGATGAGCCAGACAGAATATGCCTTCGATCGTACTGTGTGTTCTTGGCAAATTCTTCCTTGTACAGTGCACAAAGAACCCTCGCGTTTCAATTTCACAAATTCGATATCACCATATTGTTCTCGTGATGCCCAAAGTGCAAATTTAAGAGTTCATTTTACTTTTAAAGCAGCCTTGTGTATAAGTTAGGTTAAGTTGAATAAGTGAAATTCTATATCTTATTTACCTAATTTAAACCAATACACACAGATTAGTATATTAAGGAGAGTGTAACTAATAATGATTTTACGGATTTCTACTTACGCTGCTGCTTTGTCACCCTTAAATTCGGCTGAATTGAAGGTTTCCTCGTTTTTTAAAAATTCGGTAACCATAAAAATATGCACACATGGTAAATTGTGTGTTGACGCTTTAAGGAATCCTTCTGAAGCCATTTTTAGTTTAACACAAACTATAAATTATTTAAATCCACAAAATAATTAATGAACCACAACCACACAAGTAAACACTATGCACAGAACCAACCAATAGGATTGCGTTTTAGAGATTCATGAATAATTTGAATTTTAGCCTATTTTTTAGATTTATTCTAAATTAATTTTAAATAAATAAAAGCAAATATTT